GAGAGTTAATTACAAGGGGACTACAGAAAGATAAGGGACTACCGGGGGGGAAGGTGCAATGGGAGGAAGAAATTAGAGGAAAAACAGTACAAGATATGATGAACCAAGTCATATGGAAATGCAAGAAGGCCAAAGAGACATTTATTCCAACAGTAAAGAAAAAAAGCAGGAGGGAATATAATAACCCATGGTTTAACAGACAGTGTCAGGAAGCAAAAATGAGAAGCAAGAGGGAGTGGAGGAAGTACAGAAGACAAAGGACAGAGGACAACAGGATTAGATGTAACAGAGCTAGGAACGATTACATTAACATAAGACGAGTATCGGAAAGAAATTATGAGAATGATATTGCAATCAAAGCGAAAAAGCAACCTAAATTACTACATAGCCATATAAGAAGGAAGATGTCGGTAAATGACCAAGTGACAAGACTAAGGAAAACAGAGGGGGCATATACAGAAAGTGACAAGGAAATCTGCGAGGTACTGAATGCAAGTTTCCATGGAGTGTTCACAACCGAGCCTGAGAAGCTCCCATTGTTAGAAGAGATTACCTTAGATGAAAGACTATCAGATATAGTGGTGACAGCAGAGGAGGTAATGAAACAGTTGACAACACTGGATGCAACTAAAGCGCTTGGACCAGACAAAGTATCACCGTGGATACTAAAAGAGGCAGCACAGGCCCTCAGCGTGCCTCTGGCAATGATCTTTAATGAGTCACTTATGTCGGGAGAATTGCCCAGTTGCTGGAAGAAGGCAAATGTCGTACCGATTTTCAAGAAAGGAGATAGGGAAGAGGCACTTAACTACAGACCCGTATCACTGACAAGCATCCCCTGCAAAATACTTGAAAGAATAATTTGGCTAAGACTTGTTGCACACCTGGAGAGCATTAGGTTTGTAAACAAACACCAACATGGGTTCTGGAAAGGGAAATCATGCCTAACAAACCTTTTGGAATTCTATGATAAAATAACAAGGATAAGGCAGGACAGAGAAGGTTGGGCAGACTGCATATTTCTAGACTGCCAAAAGGCCTTTGATACAGTACCGCACATGAGACTGCTATTCAAACTTGAGAGGCAGGCAGGAGTAAGCGGAAAGGCCCTAGCATGGGTAAGGAACTACCTAACAGAAAGGAGCCAGAGAGTAATGGTAAGGGGCGAGAAGTCGGACTGGCGAACAGTAACGAGTGGAGTACCTCAAGGATCGGTGCTGGGACCAATTCTATTTCTAATTTACGTAAATGATATGTTTACAGGAGTGGAATCCTACATGTCAATGTTCGCGGATGACGCAAAATTAATGAGAAGAGTTGTGACAGATGAGGATTGTAGGATCCTCCAAGAGGACCTGGACAGGTTGCAGAGATGGTCAGAGAAATGGCTACTGGAGTTCAACACGAGTAAATGTAAAGTTATGGAAATGGGATCAGGTGATAGGAGACCAAAGGGACAGTACACAATGAAGGGGAACTGCCTACCTGTGACGATTCGAGAAAGAGACCTGGGAGTGGACGTAACACCTAATCTAACTCCTGAGGCACATATAAATAGGATAACGACAGCAGCGTACTCTACACTGGCAAAAGTTAGAACATCATTCAGAAACCTAAGTGAGGAGGCTTTTAGGGCGCTTTACACTGCCTACGTGAGACCAGTCTTAGAGTATGCCGCGCCATCATGGAGTCCCCACCTGAAGAAACACATAAGGAAACTGGAAAAGGTTCAGAAGTTTGCGACGAGGCTTGTCCCAGAGTTACGAGGGATGGGATATGAAGAGCGTCTGAAGGAACTGAACCTTACGACACTAGAAAAAAGAAGGGAGAGGGGGGATATGATAGGAACGTATAAAATACTCAGGGGAATTGACAAAGTGGAAATAGATGAAATGTTCACACGTAATAGTAACAGAACGAGGGGACATGGGTGGAAGCTGGAAACTCAGATGAGTCACAGAGATGTTAGGAAGTTTTCTTTTAGCGTGAGAGTAGTGGAAAAATGGAATGCACTTAAGGAGCAGGTTGTGGAAGCAAACTCTATTCATAATTTTAAAACTAGATATGATAGGGAAATGGGACAGGAGTCATTGCTGTAAACAACCGATGGCTCGAAAGGCGGGATCCAAGAGTCAATGCTCGATCCTGCAAGCACAAATAGGTGAGTACACACACACGCACACACACACACACACACACACATGGTGTGTGTGTGTGTGTGTGTGTACCTACTCCTGGTAGAGCTAGGACTTATCTCCCCCCAAAAAGAACTAGGAATCAAAAGGCTGGCATACCGAAAGGGGAATTATGAACAGATGAGAAGTTTCCTACCTTGGGACACAGACCTCAGAGACAAGTCTGTACAGGGTATGATGGACTATGTTACCCAAAAGTGTCAGGAGGCAGTAAACAGGTTCATCCCGGCCCAAAGGGAAAAATCCGAGAAGCAACAGAAGAATCCATGGTATAATAGGGCATGTATGGAAGCGAAGAAACTGAACAAAAAGGCGTGGAGGAACTTCCGGAATAACAGAACACCAGAAAGCAGGGAGAGATACCAGAGAACCAGAAATGAGTACGTCAGGGTGAGAAGAGAAGCAGAGAAAAATTTTGAAAATGATATAGCAAACAAAGCCAAGACCGAACCAAAGCTACTCCACAGTCACATCAGAAGGAAAACAACAGTGAAAGAACAGGTATTGAAACTTAGAACAGGCGAGGACAGGTATACAGAGAATGACAGAGAGGTGTGTGAGGAACTCAACAAGAGGTTCCAGGAGGTCTTCACAATAGAACAGGGTGAGGTCACTGTGCTAGGAGAAAGGGAGGTAAACCAGGCGGCCTTGGAGGAGTTCGAAATTACGAGAGAGGAGGTCAAGAGACACCTGCTGGATCTGGATGTTAGAAAGGCGGTTGGTCCAGATGGGATCTCACCATGGGTACTGAAAGAGTGTGCAGAGGCACTTTGCTTGCCACTCTCCATAGTGTATAGTAAATCACTAGAGACGGGAGACCTACCAGAAATATGGAAGACGGCGAATGTGGTCCCAATATACAAAAAGGGCGACAGACAAGAGGCACTGAACTACAGGCCAGTGTCCTTGACTTGTATACCATGCAAGGTGATGGAGAAGATCGTGAGAAAAAACCTGGTAACACATCTGGAGAGAAGGGACTTCGTGACAAATCGCCAACATGGATTCAGGGAGGGTAAATCTTGCCTTACAGGCTTGATAGAATTCTACGATCAGGTGACACAGATTAAGCAAGAAAGAGAGGGCTGGGCGGACTGCATTTTCTTGGATTGTCGGAAAGCCTTTGACACAGTACCGCATAAGAGGCTGGTACATAAGCTGGAGAGACAGGCAGGTGTAGCTGGTAAGGTGCTCCAGTGGATAAGGGAGTATCTAAGCAATAGGAAGCAGAGAGTTACGGTGAGGGGTGAGACCTCCGATTGGCGTGAAGTCACCAGTGGAGTCCCACAGGGCTCTGTACTCGGTCCTATCTTGTTTCTGATATATGTAAATGATCTCCCGGAGGGTATCGATTCATTTCTCTCAATGTTTGCGGACGATGCTAAAATTATGAGAAGGATTAAAACAGAAGAGGACTGTTTGAGGCTTCAAGAAGACCTAGACAAGCTGAAGGAATGGTCGAACAAATGGTTGTTAGAGTTTAACCCAACCAAATGTAATGTAATGAAGATAGGTGTAGGGAGCAGGAGGCCAGATACAAGGTATCATCTGGGAGAGGAAATTCTTCAGGAGTCAGAGAAGGAAAAAGACTTGGGGGTTGATATCACGCCAGACCTGTCTCCTGCAGCACATATCAAGCGGATAACATCAGCGGCATATGCCAGGCTGGCCAACATACGAACGGCATTCAGAAACTTGTGTAAAGAATCATTCAGAACTTTGTATACCACATATGTCAGGCCAATCCTGGAGTATGCAGCCCCAGCATGGAGTCCATATCTAGTCAAGGATAAGACTAAACTGGAAAAGGTTCAAAGGTTTGCCACCAGACTAGTACCCGAGCTGAGAGGTATGAGCTACGAGGAGAGACTACGGGAATTAAACCTCACTTCGCTGGAAGACAGAAGAGTTAGGGGGGACATGATCACCACATTCAAGATTCTGAAGGGGATTGATAGGGTAGATAAAGACAGTCTATTTAACACAAGGGGAACACGCACAAGGGGACACAGGTGGAAACTGAGTGCCCAAATGAGCCACAGAGATATTAGAAAGAACTTTTTTAGTGTCAGAGTGGTTGACAAATGGAATGCACTAGGAAGTGATGTGGTGGAGGCTGACTCCATACACAGTTTCAAGTGTAGATATGACAGAGCCCGATAGGCTCATGAATCTGTACACCTGTTGATTGACGGTTGAGAGGCGGGACCAAAGAGCCAGAGCTCAACCCCCGCAAACACAACTAGGTGAGTACAACTAGGTGAGTACACACACACACACACACACACACACACACACACACACACACACGCACACACCAAGAGTCTAATGAAACTAGGCGGCGGAAACAGAAGGCCAGACACAGGATACAGAATAGGAGATGAAGTACTTCATGAAACGGACAGAGAGAAAGATCTAGGAGTTGATATCACACCAAACCTGTCTCCTGAAGCCCACATAAAAGAATAACATCTGCGGCGTATGCGAGACTGGCTAACATCAGAACAGCGTTCAGGAACCTCTGTAAGGAATCATTTAGAATCTAGTATACCACATATGTAAGACCACAGCTGGAGTATGCGGCCGCAGCATGGAGCCCGTACCTTGTCAAGCTCAAGACGAAGCTGGAAAAAAGTTCAGAGGTATGCCACTAGACTAGTCCCGGAACTAAGAGGAATGAGTTACGAGGGAAGGCTGCGAGAGATGCACCTTACGACACTGGAAGACAGAAGAGTAAGGGAAGACATGAAAAACTACCTACAAAATCCTCAGGGGTCAAGGCCTCTGGAATCAAAGCCTCTGGAATCAAAGCCTCTGGTGGTCAAAGCCTCTGGGGTCAAAGCCTCTGGGGTCAAAGCCTCTGGAGTCAAAGCCTTTGGAGTCAAAACCTCTCGAGTCAAAGCCTCTGGGGTCAAAGTCTCTGGGGTCAAAGCCTCTGGGGTCAAAGCCTCTGGGGTCAAAGCCTCTGGAGTCAAAGCCTCTAAAGTCAAAACCTCTCGAGTCAAAGCCTCTGGAGTCAAAGCCTCTGGAGTCAAAGCCTCTGGAGTCAAAGCCTCTGGAGTCAAAGCCTCTGGAGTCAAAGCCTCTGGGGTCAAAGTCTCTGGGGTCAAAGCCTCCAGCATCAAACCCTTCAGGACCGCAGCATTGAGGTGAAGGGAATGGCCGCCTTCCTCGTCAAGTGAACCAAAGAAAAAAAAAGCACAATTTTCCTCAGACATTCACAAGTAAAAGTTTCGCAGTTTGGAGTTTTGATGTAGAGCGCCGCGTCGGCCGCTGCTTTCTAAACGGGTCCTGAGGGCCAGATCGCTGCTGAAATATACAGGTGAAGCAGCACTCCCTCGGGAGCACCCGACCTGCGCGCTCCCGCACACGCGCGGCTCTTGTCAGCATCAGAGGGGGGGGGGGTTATAGGGTGTCGTCTGCAGGGGTGATAGCGTATCGTCTGGGGGGAGGGGTGATAGCGTATCGTCTGGGGGGGAGGGCTGATAGCGTATTATCTGGGGGGTGATAGTGTATCATCTGGGGGGAGGGGTGACAGCATGTCGTCTGGAGGGGTGATAGCGTATCGTCCGGGGATGATAGCGTATCATCTGGGGGATTGATAGCGTATTGTCTGGGGACAATAGCGTATCGTCTGGGGAATGACGAGTCTAGGTTTAATTTTGAAGCTGTTCTTAATGGTGAGGATGAAATTCATGATAACAACTCTGTTTCTCAATAGGTAAAGAATACAAGAAATGGGTCAAGAATACATGAAAACTGGATGACTGGTTATTGAAAAAATGAAAAAGCTTTATTCCTGTGAAAGTGCATTGTGTTGTTACCTGTCGATGGAGTGAAGCAGGTGAGGGGCGAGAGCACATGAGGGGGGGGGCTCACTATTTTATAGGGGGGAGGGGGAGTGATGGAGGGCGGGGGGGGGGGGGAGGTGGTGGTGGGGGGGAGGGATTGATTCTTTCAGGTAGTGTGGCTTGATTCAGGAGATCTGGTCAGAGACCGGGCCGCGGGTACCTTGATCCCTGAAAACAACGCAAGGTAACCGCAAGATAAACGCAAGATAACAGCAACATAACGGCACGGTAACCGCAAGATAACTGCAAGGTAACCGCAACATAACGGCAAGGTAACCACAAGATAACCGCAAGATAACCGCAAGGTAACCGCAACATAACTGCAAGGTAACCGCAAGATAACCGCAAGGTAACCGCAACATAACGGCAAGGTAACCGCAAGATAACCGCAAGGTAACCGCAACATAATGGCAAGGTAACCGCAAGATAACCACAAGATAACCGCAAGGTAACCGCAGGGTAACCTGCCCTAGTGACTGCTCGGACTCTGTTACGTTCCTCCCCTGCACTAGGCGAGTGCATGTCCATCAAGGTTGACCTCGGCCAGTGTTGTGAGCAACACGCCGGTGTTGTCTGGTCTTCCCTTCGTCGAGAAGGAGTCTCGCTCTCGCAATATTACTCGAATTGTTTGGGAGGCAAGAGACGTGAGAGTGGCAGTACTGGTGACGAGCGAGAGTAATGTTAAGGAAGTGAGGGTGACGCGGGGGGCAGAGATGATGTGTGCTCTCCTGGAGGCTCTAGACCCTCTATTACTCCTCAGATCCCACTGTCAATATGGTATATTGGCGGAGTTGTATTGTGCTTCCCTGTGTGTGTGTGTGTGTGTGTGTGTGTGTGTGTGTGTGTGTGTGTGTGTGTGTGTGTGTGTGTGTGTGTGTGTGTGTGTGTGTCAGTTTCGGTTGTCTCAGACAACCACACACATACACACAGACGGGACCAAAAAACCAGAGCTCAACCTCCGGAAACACAAATAGGTGAGTACACACACACACACACACACACACACACACACACACACACACACACACGCAACTGCCTGAACTCCAGTCCCCAGAGGCCCACATCAAAAGGATATCATCAGCGGCATGTGCTAGACTGGCCAACAAAGAAACTGCCTTTAGAAACGTGTTTAAGGAATCGTTCAGGACCCTGAATACCACTTATGTAAGACCAATCCTGGAATATGCAGCTCCTGCCTGACGTCCATACCTAGTTAAACACAAGACATAGTTAGAGAAGATTCAGTGGTATGCCACCAGGCTCGTCCCGGAACGGAGAGGTATGAGCTACGAGGAAAGGCTAAAGGATCGAGCTGAACCTCACGTCCCTGGAAAACAGAAGAGTAAGGGGAGACATGATAACCACCTACAAAATTCTCAGGGGGAATTGACAGGGTGGACAAAGACAAACTCTTCAGCACGGGCGGGACACGAACAAGGGGACACAGGTGGAAACTTAATACTGTTACCTAGTAGTAAATAGGTACCTCGGAGTTAGTCAGCTGTCACGGGCTGCTTCCAGGGGTGTGTGTGTGTGTGGAAAAAAAAGTAGTTAGTAAACAGTTGATTTGACAGTTGAGAGGCGGGCCGAAAGAGCAAATCTCAACCCCCCCAAAACACAATTAGGTGAACACATAGTCACACACACACACACACACACACACACACACACACACACACACACACACACACACACACACACACACACACGCGCGCGCACAGAACGAAGGTGGGTGAAGTAGTACCTATCAGTCAGAACAGTCATAGAGTATAGGACCCATCCTGTTCCTAATATATGTAAACAATTTAACAGAGGAAGTAATTTCATTCTTAACCGTATTTGTTGACGATGCTAAGCTAATGAGGCGACTACAACTGAGGAGGACTGGTTTGGAATACATATAATATGACCAAGACAATCTCCACAGATGGTCTGAGAACTGGCTACTAGACTCTAATCCTAACAAATGCAAGATTATGAGGATATAAGAGTTGCAGCAAGAAGACCTCAAATACATTACAGGATGAAGGGAAGTCACCTTCCAACTTCTCAAGGAGAGATTTAGGAGTGGACATAACTGGAGACGTACCACCAGGACAACGAGGGCCGCAGACGCCATACTGGCAATCGTCCTTGTTCAGCAACTTGGACAAGGATCTCTTCCGAGCGTTGAATACATCCTTTGTCAGACCCATTATTGATTATAATGCCCAAGCATGGAGTCATGGAGTCCCCCCCTTCTTTGTTCTTCCTAAAGAAGAACAAACGAAAACTAGAAAAAGTTACAAAAATAAGCAACAAGGGTCGTTCCTGAGCTAGAAACAAAACTTGGGGGAGCTGGAGCTCGGTGCACTGGAGGAAGGAAGGAATTGGCCAGACGGACAAACTACTAAGGGGAACTTGCAAAAATAAAGAAGCATTGTTCAAATTAATGAAAGAGAGAATATAATTCGAAACTAGAAACACAGATGCATCAGATGGCCGGAAGAACTTGTTCAGTCTTAAAAGTCGTAAATATGTGGAACGGACTTGATCAGGAAGTTGTTGGCGAAGCCAATTCGATGCACAATTGTAAATGTAAAAAGGATAAAAAAAACGCATGAAACGAGTAGAATATTTGAACTACCAATTGTCGAAAGGCGAAGCTTCAGAGCAGATGTTCGACCCTACAAGCATAACTACGCCAGAACACTCAGACAACCCCAGGTGGCAGCCACCAACAGGTGTGTGTGTGTGTGTGTGTGTGTGTGTGTGTGTGTGTGTGTGTATGTGTGTGTGTGTGTGTGTGTGTGTGTGTGTGTGTGTGCATGTGTGTGTGTGTGTGTGGTTGTGTGTGTGTGTGTGTGTGTGTGTATGTGTGTGTGCATGTGTGTGTGTGTGTGTGTGTGTATGTGTGTGTGCATGTGTGTGTGTGTGTGTGTGTGTATGTGTGTGTGCATGTGTGTGTGTGTGTGTGTGTGTATGTGTGTGTGCATGTGTGTGTGTGTGTGTGGGTGGGTGTGTGTGTGTGTGTGTGTGTGTGTGTGTGTGTGTGTGTGTGTGTGTGTGTGTGTGTGTGTGTGTGTGTGTGTGTGTGTGTGTGTGTGTGTGTGTGTGTGGTTGTGCGTGTCAGTAGGGGGTTGAATTGCTCCTCAAATTACTTTGCACAATGCAGCTTCACATTTCATTTAGCCCCGGGGAGATGCAGCATCCCGCTACTCTCCTCATAATCAAGGAGACGCACCTCGGGAAATCAGCTGATAGATGGTAAACACGACACATGTTTCCCCTCTCCCACCAGCTCTCTCCCCTCATTCCTTATCCATCTTTTCCCCCTCCTCCTCTCCTCCCCTTATTCCTTATCCATCCATTCCATCTCCCTTTCATTCGCCCTCATTACTTATTTGCCTTTTCTCCCCTTCTGTTTCTTCCACTTGTTATTCTCATTTCCACATTCACTCCCTTACTCTCCCCCCCCTGCCGCTCTTCCTTCGTTCTCTCTCTTTGGTTGTATTCTTTCTATTGTCAGTAGCCTTCCTTTGCCATTCATTTCCTCCCTCCTCCTCTCCATCTATCGTTCTTCGTGATTACATCAAGGCAGTAACACCTGTCTCTTGCGCGGACACACATCCGTCTCGCATGATGCTCTTAATAGACATTCGAGACGTGTCGTTTGAACAGCGGGATTTATATTAAAGAATAGGTTTCCTTCAGCATCTTCAGAGGTAGATCTAAACTCTGGTCCTCTGGTACTTCTGGGACCTCTGTACCTCTGGTACCTCTGATAACTCTGCCACTTCTGGTACCTCTGGTACCTCTGGTACTTCAGGTACTTGGTTCTCTCGTATTTCTAAGTGCTTCTTCGTCCCTCATACCCTCTCTCAAACACCGGTGTTCGTGACACACACTGTTGTAGAAGATGGCTTGGAAAGAAGTTCTGAAAGTTTTATTTTGGGATTATGGCCGTAAAACATGAACCTGTTTTGGAAAAGGTTATCATACTACATGGCAGTCATAAAATAATATGGAAACAAAGATCCATTCTCCAGGTTGATACAGTTTTTGATAGATGTCCAAGACTAAATCATATACACACAGAGATCACACTAACGTGATGCATCAAATGAGTAAGTGTAATGTGTAATGATGTAAGGGCGAAGAGGGAGAACGGCCTATTGACATAGCTAGGGTGCAGGAGGGAGTTGTATAAAACCCTGGTTTGTGCCTCGGAGAGGCTACGGGATCCAGTAAGTTCAGTAGAACTTAGGTTTCAACTCTTTTACCCTGTCGTAGCTCCGTCGATTAAGGCAATGTCTGGGATGCTCCCGGACGCAGGTTCGATTCCTCGTCACGGCCCTTGTGGATTTGTTCACTAAATCATATCTTTCTTCAGCCGTTGACAGTGATATGATGCCATTTAAAGTCATTTAAAGCAAACTCTTCAAAGGTTTTCATAGAACTGTCAGCAGCAGCAGCAGCAGCTATAGTACAGGCACGGCAGCCCGTCCTCCCGAGCGTTCACAACAGCACTAAACTGATATTCTAAATTACCTGAATCCAACCTAACAGTGAACCCGCGGATAGAAAACGTGACATCACGTCAATTTTACGAGTCGCTACGATTTTATGTTCAAGAGGACAGGTTGGTGGATGTAGGGGTGACAGACTTGTTTTAATCCACGTGTCAATCCTCTGTCCGTCTCTTGGACCATTTCAGATTTGTTCCTATTTTATGCAGTGCTCCATCATTTATTAAATAGGGAGATGTACTTGTTACCTCAGAGGTTAAAGGTATCAATGGAATGATCCTAATCGCTTGGAATCTCAATTATCCTTGAGATCCTTTACTATCGCTACATAAAGACAAGTGATAAAGACTTAAGTGTTCAGCTTTTCCCCTTAACTCCCTCTTTTCTCGTCAAAGGATTAAGCAGTTTTTTTAAGACTTCATCACAGACTTTATTATCCATTCTGTTCCTCCATAATGCAGGTCTATGTTACATTTTATTGCATAAATTATCATAAAGTTGGAAACCAGCGCTGTTAAGCTTATTTGGTCGTTGCTGTGTTCTTTTAAGCTGTTTGGTGTTCAGATTATTTGTAACAGTGTTACACTGGTGTTCAGTGTTACACTGTTGTTCAGTGTTACACTGTTGTTCAGTGTTACACTGTTGTTCAGTGTTACACTGTTGTTCAGTGTTACACTGGTGTTCAGTGTTACACTGTTGTTCAGTGTTACACTGTTGTTCAGTGTTACACTGGTGTTCAGTGTTACACTGGTGTTCAGTGTTACACTGGTGTTCAGTGTTACACTGGTGTTCAGTGTTACACTGTTGTTCAGTGTTACACTGTTGTTCAGTGTTACACTGTTGTTCAGTGTTACACTGGTGTTCAGTGTTACACTGGTGTTCAGTGTTACACTGGTGTTCAGTGTTACACTGGTGTTCAGTGTTACACTGTTGTTCAGTGTTACACTGTTGTTCAGTGTTACACTGTTGTTCAGTGTTACACTGTTGTTCAGTGTTACACTGGTGCTCAGTGTTACACTGGTGTTCAGTGTTACACTGGTGTTCAGTGTTACACTGGTGCTCAGTGTTACACTGGTGTTCAGTGTTACACTGGTGTTCAGTGTTACACTGGTGTTCAGTGTTACACTGTTGTTCAGTGTTACACTGGTGTTCAGTGTTCACTGGTATTTCTAGATAATACCAGCTGAGATTTTAAGCGCTCGCTTGGATTTGTAAATATTATATATCCTCTCCAAAATATATACCAGAAGCTTTTATCAGAAGCTGAAGCTAATTCAGAATTAGAAGATGAATCAGAAGTTTTCATTTATATATTCAAGAGTGCTCTCAAGCTGACATTTCAAAATTCATAAAGAAGCTTAGACAAACTCTTAAACTGAACTTTTCACAAAACGGTTAATCAGATAATTTTTGAAGTGTTTTAATTGTGGTAATTTTGGAAGGTATTTAAAAAATTTCATAATTATTAAAGTATTTTAAAAGGTAATAATTCGTACATGGCTTGTGGTTACCTGGTGTTGCTTTCGGGAGGCGACGATTCCACGGCCCGGTCTCTGAATAGGTTTCCTGGTCAGAGTCCGGGCTATATGGTCAACCAGGCTGTTTGACGCAGCTGTTGCCAGCCTGGCGTATAAATCACAGCCCCGTTAATCAGGCATATATTCATGGTGTTTATCAAGCTCTCTTTTTTTTAACACCGTGAGAGGTGGGTCCAGTTATGCCTCCTTATGTATAGAGGGAGAATATTGAGGATTCTTAAGGCCTTAATGTTGATAGAATTCTCTCAGCGTACCTATATTACGCTTTTCAACTGTTACAAGATATCAGCAGCAAATACACATCTTCACGTCATCAAAAATACCTGTCTTGGAAAAAAATCTTAAAAGTACTGTGTTGCAAGCAAGAATTGTACAACTCTTTCCTTTTCACTAATTCTTAAGTCTTAAAATCACCTTTGTACTTTCTGTTGCCACATACAACACACACTTCACCTCCACGTTTCTACCTGGCGCAGTGCTTTCTCTCCTCCATGTGTTCAACGTCGACACTTTGATCAGTTAAAATGTTCTTCACTGTGGTTTTTTGTTGGTCTCTATTGCTTTTCAACAATATTTTGTATAGCAGTCTAGATGATAAACCAAATTCTCCTTTTTATAGTATTGGGTGTAGATGGGAATCATCAAGTCTCAGAGGGTTCAATTAATTTTTATCAGCTATTATCAGCCTCGTATACTTTCTTCCCGCTGTCATATATTGCACAAATGATGCACAGTCTTGGTGATTTTTCCTCTTCGTGGCAGCTGGTGTTAGTTGTACTCCTTCCTGTTTTTAACTGGAATCTCAGATTTAAAGTATTACACAATCGACACAAACGTGGTAACTGGGGATTAAAACGCAATGTGTGTTGAATAATAGCAAATAATATCAGGTAAACCCTATTAAATGTGTCATTACAATGTAAAGAAGTGTTTTGGAGAATGTTGGTCCCTTACAACGTTCAGGAAGAAGCGGCCTTTCCCGAAATATGTGGTATTTCCCGATACTAGTGGAATTGAGCCTGGCGGCCATCTTGGCGGCCATATTGGAAACAATTTCCCTGATACCAGAGTGGCGTCCCCCAGGCTAAACACCGTCCTCTGGCGCCACGGGCACACTTCGTGAGCGGAATACGTGTATTGCACGACCAT